ACATACAGGCATGTCTCCAGAGATCGAGCAGAGCCTTCTGACAGTCAATGATCGGGTGTCCACGGACTTTCCACGCTAGTCATTTCTCAGAGAATTTACTTATCCAGCATTTTGCAATCTGCTGGAATTCCTGCCAGGGGGATCATATAGCACTGGAAGTTGCAGCAGGCCTCTTGAACCCTCCTGTATCGTGTCAAAGGGTTTCCAGCCCAATCCACAGAGTAAATATTTCCTTTGCTGTGATCGGCCAGCCTGCCCCAACTTGGATGCTTCCGGTTACAGCCTTTATCATTGCTGGTCATTAGCCAAGGGAGGTGGAAGGGATGGCAGTGGCCAGCTGCGTAATTTGGTCTGCTTTGGGTTCCGGAAGTTTGGGCTGCTTATTACTAGAATCGTAGAGTTGGAAAGGAGCTCTGAGCTGGTGGTCGACGCCAGTCCCTGCTGATGCAGAGTATGTCTCGCTGCGACTCCCTAGGCAGGTTACGATCCAGCCTGTGTTAGAAAACTGCAAGGGGGAGAGTCCATTTTTCTAAGAAACTCAGCTTTAGTAGTGAACAACTCATACTGGTCGGGCACCCCCCCGCCCCAAGTTTAGTCAAACGCTCCATTCTTGCAATTCATGATTTTGTTTGGGCTCCTCTGCTCTGAGAAAAATGGAAAACAAATGCGAGGGGGTCATCCAGGAAAGTGCTAATCAAATATTTGAAGAGGATCCCGCTGAAGGCTAAGCAGCTGCAGCTGCTGAGAATTTCCTTCATGGCCACCATCCCTAACCAGCCTTGGCTCCCCCAGGCCATGTTTACATAACTTCTAGTCCGAGACAAACAGTCCAAAGAACCCTTTTAGTGGTTTATGGAACATATTTTGAAGTATTTGTAACATGGTGTATTTTAATTGGGTTTTTTAGTGTGCTTTACCACCCAGAGAGCTTTTGCTTTTGGGCGGGATGGACGGACGGACGGATGGACAGACAGGAATGGTGCCATTCCTTCTTCTGACCTGGACACTATGCAATATTTTTGGTTTAAAGTAGGCATGGGGAACTTTGGTCCCTCTGGATATTTAGGCTTATCGGTTCCATCATATTGTTAACATCAAAACCAGCATCAAAGGATTCTTTAAATACATCAAAAGTAGAAAGCAGCCAGAGAAGCAGTTGGGGTGTTAGACAATACTGGAGTTCAAGGAGTGCTAGGTGGGGGACACGGAGATCGCCAAGAAGTTGCATAAATCCATTTCTTCATTCTTCACAATGGAGGATGCCGAGCAGGCCTCAGAGCCGATGTCAAGATCTCCTCTTGCTGATGCCAAAGTGTAGGATGCAGAATAATAAATTCAAGTTGCGGCAACCCAGATTCAGGCTGGCCAACAGGAAGAGCTTCTTCACTGTCAGAGCAATACGACAGTGGGACCAGCTGCCTGGAGAGGTGGGGGGCTCTCCCTCACTGGAGGCATGCAAAATCAAACTGGGCAGCCACCTGAGTGGGATGGTGTAACATGATGTCCTGCAACAGCAGAGAGTGGGGCCTGGGGGCCTTCTTGGCCCCCTTCTAATTCTACTATTCTATGATTCTATGATATATTCTAGAAGGGAGCCTGAGGAATTAAGGCACATAGAAATGACCAAGGAAGAAGTTCTCAATCTCATTGATAATCTGAATGCCTTAATGAGTTGGAACATGACATTGTTGACCTTTTTACCTCCTGCACAGACCAGCTACTGAGGGGCTTGGGCAGATGGAGGGCTTGGCCATGAAGGATCAGGATGATGGTAGTCCAAAGCATCTGAGGACACCCCCTCCTCAGTTAAGAAAAAACCTGTCCTAGTGCCTGTAGGAAACTGGATGGTCATATCTTAGGGGTAAGATCATAGAATTCATTCATTCATTCATCTGAAGTATTTTTATGCTGCTCCTCATGCCAAAAAGTTTCCCAGAACAGTTTACATATAATCAATTAAACAAGACAATCCCATGCAATCTTAACATATCTAACATCCAAGGAAAGGGGATGTGGGGAGAAGAAGCAGGGAAACAGTTGGGGTTCTTTTGCCGCCTCTGGGATGTGCACCGGACCATGTTGGTGGGGTCAAAAGGGTCAGAGCAGCTTTGGAGTTTATGAGAGCTGAGCAGGGCTATCAAGCACAGGACGTTTTGGCGGGCAGGGATTCCTAGGGCCACCATAAGCCAGAGGCCAACTTGTCAGCATCTAACAACAAGCCACCGTCCACCCCTGTCCTCCTGGCAGCCTCTTTTGCAGAGTGGCTGGAGGGTGCTGAGAATTCGAGTCCGACAGATCTGGAGGTACCATGTTGAGAAAAGCAGGCATGTGCGTATGCCAACAAGTCCGTGTCTCCTGCCACAGCAGCATGTGTGGACCAGCCCATAACTTCTAGTTCTCAATCCAGCATCCAAAGCTGTAGCTTCACCCCTCTAGGCCACCTTTTCCTAGATCAGGCTGCATGACCGAGAAGCAATCCTCTGTCTGTGGCCTTCTTGATTTCTCAACTCCTGTATCACTTCTTGCCATCTGGGTTGTTTATTATTTACTGGTTACAATATCATTAGCTCTGATGTCACAGAAGAGGAAATAACAATGAAACTGGACTTCAAGCCAAACAGAATCGCCTCTCAATGGTTTTGAGAATTCCTGTCCCTACACACATAAATATTGATTGATTTGTTTTCGGTTTTTCTCCCGCCCCCACTCCTTTTCATTCATCCTATTATATGTCCAACAACCTGCTGAGTCATGGTAATGAGTGTTTTCGTTGACTCATGCATTCAGTTGTTGTTATGTGCGGTCAAGTCATTGTCAGGGTCTCTTTACTAATGGCGAGAATGAGGAGAACGAATTACTGGGGGGTGGAGGGAAGATTGAATTGCCTTGAACCCGAGTGTTTGTGTTGGTGAGATCACCCAGCCCCTCCCAGACAGGTAAATCCTGTCTGAAAAGCATTACTCCTGTGTGCCTTTGCATTGT